TGTCTCTCCCCCAAACCAACTCTCTCCCCAAACCAACTGTCTCTCCCCCAAACCAACTGTCTCTCCCCCAAACCAACAGTCTCTCCCCCAAACCAACTGTCTCTCCCCCAAACCAACTGTCTCTCCCCCAAACCAAATGTCTCCCCCCAAACCAAATGTCTCTCCCCCAAACCAAATGTCTGTTTCATTTTGCATCTTAACCTAAGGACGTTTGTTTGTATTAAATACTAGAAAAATGTGAGGGCTGGGCGTGGTGGCTCATGCCTGTAATTCTAGTAATTTAGGAGGCCTAGATGGGAGGATCGCTTGAGCCCAGGATTTCGAGACCAGCCTGGGCAACAAAGTGAGACCCTGTCTCTAGAAAAAAATTCTTAAAGATAGCTGGGCATGGTGGCATGTGCCTATAATCTCAGTTACTCAAGGGGCTGAGGTGGGAGGATCACCTGAGCCTGGGAGGTTGAGGCTGCAGTGAGCCACGATCACATCACTGCACTCCAGACTGGGTGACCGACTGAGATCCTGTCTCCAAAGAAAAGAATAGGTCAGGTGTTATTTCTTAAATCTAGGTAAACAGCTCTTCATTTCCAAGCTATGCCCCGCTGCCCGATTTTCTCTCGTGTCCAGATGGGTCTGGCTTCCGACCCCCAGCCCAGAGTGAGGCTGTGTGCGTTGTCTACTCAGGGTGCTGGTTGTACTTTGCTGCCTGTGGTGGGACTGAGACCACGGTATTGTCACAGGCCTGCGTTTGTTTGCTGGGCAATTGGAATGTTTTCCAGTACAACTTTCACCATTATTATTACCCCATTGGTGCTCTCGCCGAAAATTCCTGCAGCAGGTCTCAGCGATGGGTTTCACTTCAGGGAGGAGGAGTCCCCGGGAGGCTGGCCTTGTGCTGCTGGGGACACGCTGGGTGTGGGGCCCCTGACCAGTGCCCACCACCCGAGTCTGCATGGTGCGGGGTCCCTTAGCGTGTTCCTAGGGGTGGCGGCAGCACCCCTCAGCCGGGGGATTTGGGCAGCATCCCTGCCTCGGCCGTCCTAAATGGAGCCCTCTCCTCCCTGCCAGCAGCTCTGTCTTCAGTCTGTAATCGCGTGTATTTCTTGCCAGAAGCACTACCAACTCTTTTTTCTCTTTCTTTCCTTCCGTGTCTCCATCCTCCCCTTTCCGTTTCAGTTTTTATTTTTGTTCTTATTTTTCTCCTTAGCTTTCATTCTCTGGTCATAGTCCATCTTGGCACCCTAACGTGGTGAGTATTTCATTGGCAGGGCCCGGCAGGGGTCCCACTCTGCTTCCCGGAAGACACCTTGGCCCCCTGCCCTGCCGGGGAGCTGCCCCCCCTGCCATTTGATGAACCGGAAGGCGTGACCCAGCATCCCCAAAAGGGTCGTTAGAAAGCCACCCGCGTCCTTCAACACCAGAAGTCCCTCCCTGGGGGTCAGGACCGGAGTTTCCACTGTAGAGGCTGCAAGGTGCTCACCTTTCCTGAGCGGGAAGGAGAGCAGGGTCCATCCCCCCCAACCCAGTGTAGCAGAAACGTGCAGGACCCTCTCTAGGTGGTCTTTCTGCTTCGGTGGCACTAGGCAGCAGTTCCTGGGGACAGACACGGTGGTTCTGTGATTCATCCTCATTCTTTTTTGGGTGCTGCTGAGTACAGGCTTGGGTGGTGCTGGAGATTCAGCCAGGAGGGCTGGGTCTCCCTGCCAGGCTGGGGCGGCCTAGGCCGGGGTAGCTGGAGTCTGCAGGTCACGGCTGCTGCTGTTGCTACCATGGCACCCGCCAGCATAAATGTCTGCCTCCTTCCAAACTGGAAGAGGGACAAGTAGGACGTCACATCATCGTTCACCTCGGTCCTCGAGTCCCCACCCTTCATCAGGTCCCGAGAGGAGCTTCCCCTGGGGGCAGGGATCTTCCTCTCCACACAGTCCCTCGTCCCTCACCCCTCAATCTGGCCAAGCAGACACTCCCTGACATCCTCTGCACGCAGCCCCTCACCCCTCGTCCCTCACCCCGGCCGAGCGGAGCCTCCCTGACATCCTCTGCACATAGCCCCTCGCCCCTCACCCCGGCTGAACGGAGCATCGCTGACTCTGCACTCTACATTTCTTTTCTTCCAGCCCCACGTTGAATTGGACCCTTTTCCTCCAGTGGGACCTGAGAGCAGGGACAAAACGGGACGTCGCGTCTCCATCCTGAAGACCCAGGGGGTCTTGGTCTCTGCACGCCCGTCCCGTGGAGGAAGAGTGAGAAGGGGCAGCACGTGCAGCGCAAGCTGCCGTCCGCGTGGGATGCGCCAGGACTAGAACTGGCTCTGCCGACTCTCGGGGGCTTCTCTGGGAGAGGCCCGGCCTTGGCTGCTGGACCCTGGTCCCTCCTCCTGGACGGCAGTCCCCATCCCAGTTCCAGGGATGTGCAGCATTCCCTGCCAAGCAGGGGTGAGAACTGCTTCTGTGTGAAGCACCAGCCTCGGGTCCTCTCCTCTCTCTTGGTCCTCAAATAGTTGCCACCAGTGTCTGGAGGAAGATTTTCAGAAACGACAGAGGCGTGGCCCAGTGACAAGATGAAGGCTGTGACTGAGCCGCCTGGATGGTGACCTTCATTCAAGGAGGCTCCCTGGATGGTCCTGGGAGGGGTCCCCAACACCTCAGTGGCCCCTCCAGTGCTGCAATGTGTTGCTGGGGTCCTGAACACCTGCTGGCCAACAGACCCCACACCCACCCTCCTTCATCGTCATCTCTGTGGGGACAGACAAGAGCCGTGGCCGCCGTGGGCCATGGGGTGCCCTCAACCCTCTGCCTTCCTACCCAGCCTGAGACAGGAAGGCCGCCAGCTGGGAGCACCACGGGACTGATCCAAGGAAGGCGTGGGGAGTGTGGTGACAGGAGATGGGACGAGGGGGCAGAGCCAGCTGGAACATGGATGCCAGAGGCTGCCTCCGTAGTGCATCTCCAGAAGTCACAGAGGCCCTGAGCGTCCAGAGCCACCTGAGCCACCTGGCCTGGAAGCCCCTGCGCAGGCCACACCTGCAGGCCATGGACCCCAGCAGGAACCGAAGCCTCACCCCAAGCGTTCGTACACAAGGAGCAGCCCAGGTGAGGGACGGCGGACGCACCTGTGGCTCTACTGGTGCAAGAAGGGAACCGTGGTCCAAGAAGCTGACAGGTAAGGGCTGCTGTCTGTCCACAGGGACGGCCTTTTCCCTCCCGCCCTGTGTGGTGACCCTGCACAAGCTGACACACCCCCTTCCTGGCCTGCTAATTCTGCTTAGAGAACTCAGCCCCATTTGAGATGAGAATTAAATTTGCTGGCGCACCCTCCCTGCGAGGTGAGCCCCAGCTTCTCCTGCACACCTCTGTGTCCCAGTCTGCACATGTGTGGCTCTGCCACCCCCTCCACTGCTGGCCGTCAAGATCACCTCTCCCGTCACGCATGGGACAGGGCCTGGGGGCTCGTGTGGACTGTGGCCTGAGCTGTTGCTGGGGGCAGGGTCTGCAGACACGGTGCCCCACAGGGACCTGGCATCTGGCACGGCTGGCCGTCCTCCCACTTGCGGGAAGAGGCTTGCAGAAAAGGGAGAAACCCTGTAGGTGCGTCGAGGCCGCTCTCCGAGTGCACCCCCTTCCGCTGCTCCCGTGCACTTGACCGTGAGCGCCGTCCCTCACTCAGACCCAGCACCTGAGGTGTCCACTCTGGGGAGGCGACTCTGGTTGCTCCCAGCAGGGAAGGAGGTCAGGACTGGGCGGGGCGTGCTCCACCGCGGAGCTTTCCTTGCCAGCAGGGTTCCCTACAGGAGAGTTTGAGGATCGGTTGTGTCTGTGGGGCTCTGGGGCAGGGTGAGCTGGTTCTTGGGGAGGCAGTGGCAGCCCCATGGGGGGCCACCCAGAGAATGCTCCACCTCCCCCACCTCTGACCCACACCTATGGGGTCCAGCCCTACGGGGCTTAGCAGGTGTTCTCCCCACGTGTGGAGATGAGAGATTGTAAGAAATAAAGACAAAGAGATAAAGAGAAAACAGCTGGGCCCGGGGGACCACTACCACCAAGACGTGGAGACCGGTAGTGGCCCTGAGCGGCTGGGCACACTGATATTTAGTGCATACAAGAACAAGGAGGCAGGGTAAGGAGGGTGGATCTTCTAAGTGATTGACAAGGTGACGCAAGTCACGTGATCACAGGACAGGTGGCCCTTCCCTCTTAGGTAGCGGAAGTAGAGAGGGAGGGCAGCATATGTCAGCGTTTTCTTCTCTGCACTTATAAGAAAGATCAAAGACTTTAAGACTGTCACTATTTCTTCTACCGCTGTCTACTACCAACTTCAAGAGGAACCAGGAGTACGGGAGGAACATGAAGGTGGACAAGGAGCATGACCGTTGAAGCACAGCACCACAGGGAGGGGTTTAGGCCGCCAGATGACTGCGGGCAGGCCTGGATAATATCCAGCCTTCCACAAGAAGCTGCTGGAGCAGAGTGTTCCCCGACTCCCCCAAGGAAAGGAGACTCCCTTTCTCGGTCTGCTAAGTATCAGGTGCCTTCCCAGACACTGGCGTTACCGCTTGACCAAGGAGTCCTCAAGCGGCCCTTATGCGGGCGTGACAGAGGGCTCACCTCTTGTCTTCTTCGTCACTTCTCACAGTGTCCCTTCAGCACCTGACCCTGTGCCCGCCGGTTATTCCCAGGTTATATTAGTAATGCAACAAAGAGTAATATTAAAAGCTAATGATTAATAATGTTTATAATAATGATTGATAATTGTCCATGATCATCTCTATATCTAATATGTATTATGACTATTCTTATTCTAACTATTTTCTTTATTATACTGAAACAGTTTGTGCCTTCAGTCTCTTGCCTTGGCACCTGGGTAATCCTCCACCCACACAAACCCTGTCCGAGAGCCAGCTGTGTCTCCTGCAGTGGGCAGCGGCCATGGGCCACAGGCACTGTTATTCCTGGGAGATGCTCCCCTGCATAGAAAATGGGAGGGGGAGGAGGCGGTGCGACCACACCCTCAGCTCAGGAGCGGGCAGCAGCTCCGTCTTCACCCTCAGCTCAGGAGCGGGCAGCAGCTCCGTCTTCACCCTCAGCTCAGGAGCGGGCAGCAGCTCCGTCTTCACCCTCGATTCAGGAGGGGCAGCGGCGAGGAGGAGGTACGAGGAGGGCAGCGGCTCTATCTTGCAGGTCCCCTGGGGCACATTCTCCAGGCGCATTGTGGATAAGGCGTCGTCCTTGTGTGGGTCGGGACCTGGGCACCAGGCAGGATCTGGTTCCTGAGGTCCCAAGTGCGCCCAGGCACAGCCTCAGGCCAGAAAGTTCTCTGCAGGGGTTCATTCTAGAAGGAGTGGGAGGTCAACAGCCCCAGCCCTGTCCAAGGACACCCGCTGCTTGGCACAGGAGGACACTACAGGCCCACCAGCCCTCAGGACACGGAGGGCACTACAGGCCCACCAGCCCTCAGGACACGGCTCCCACATCCCCAGGGACTTCTGCTCCCACAGCAAAAGCTGGAGCTCCAAGCAGGGCGTCTCTAATTGCGCGGCAAGGACTGCGCAGCTAGAGGTCGGGAGCTCCACTGCCTCCAGGGTCCCCGGAGGGTGGTGGGGGGCAGTGAACACCCCACAGCGCAGCGACACACACGGTGTGGACATACACACGACCCCGCGGACGCTTCCCGGCTGCCTCACTCCCACCCCCTGCGGACCAGGCCTCACAGCGGGGGCAGGTGGACCATCCAGGTGGACCATCCAGGCCATGCTGAGCCCCGAGCAGTTCCCCACAACAGGTCACAGAGAGGACTCCGGGCTAGGAGAAGGGGGCCTGGGGAGCAGGGTCCCCGCACAGCCGCCCTCGGTGACATCTGGGACGTGGACATGAATGGACGACGTCCCTGGATGGAGCCATTTCCTGGGTCCTGGAGCTGGAGGTGACGGAGCTTCTCCTGCTCCCAGCGTGTGCCCGTGGGGTGGTCAGAGTAGACAGGCCACACCGTCATCAGGGAAGGGCAGCTGGCCAGCAATGTGCAGACTGTGCCTCAAGCCCGTGGGCACAGTGGGGACAGAGGTGGGCAGGTGCTTCTCCACCTGGGGGCTGACAAGCTACGGGCACATCGTGGACAAGGCGTCTGTGCGGCTCCGCGGGGAAGACCGCTCTCCTCAGCCAGGCCCACCAGCCTCCCAGGGTCAGGGAGCGAGCCTCGAACGCTAGACCCGGCAGGAAAACATACGTGAGCCAATGGGCCCCAAACCGTCGCGTTGCACCAGGCGGAGACCTCAGCCCCAGATGCTCACCCAGGGCTGTCGCCCGATCCTGCAACTACCCCCGAGGGGTGGGGAGACCTGTGAGCGGAAACCTGTCCCCGCCCGGAGCGCCGGCAGCAATGCCCTCTTCAGCTTGTTCAGTCGAGGGAGGAGAGGAGAGCGATGCCTTCGCGGGCTCCCTTGGGGGAAGCTACAGAGCGGGGGCATTGGGCTGAGGCCACCAGCCCACAGGGCTCCTCTGAAGTGAGGCGGCTGTCATCCTCCCGGGATCCTCCCACCGTGTCTGGTCTGAGCGTGCGGTATCCAGCGTGAGTTCGAAGGGTGTCACGAAAGAGCTACTACCTAAATTTGCAGCCAGCAAGGGGCTTTTGTGCCCTAGTTCCCACTCCCAGCCCTAGACCACCAACCCCACACCCATAGGAAGCAGAGGGCCCCTCACCCACAGCCCAGCAGGTGCACTGTGTGCCCTGCCCTATGGGAGAGGAACTGCCACAATGTCTGATCGAGCGTATTTTTGCACAGTAAATGAGACGTGAGATGTTACTGTGCTGTCTCAGTGAGCGTCTCTCCCTTCTCTCCAATTAGCTTTTTTCCCCAACTTTTTATTTTGAAACAATTTTAGACTTAAAATTGCACAAATTGTGTAGAGAGTCCTGTGTGCCCTTCAGCCTGCTTCCCCTGATGTTCCTGTCTTGTCTTGTCTTTTCTTTTCTTTTTTTTGAGATGGAGTCTTGCTCTGTCACCAGGCTGGAGTGCGGTGGCACGATCTCGGCTCACCGCAACCTCCTCCTCCTGGGTTCAAGCAATTCGCCTGCCTCAGCCTCCCAAGTAGCTGGGATTACAGGCAGGCGCTTGCCAGCACGCCCGGCTAATTTTTGTATTTTTAGTAGAGATGGGGTTTCGCCATGTTGGCCAGGATGGTCTCGAACTCCTGACCTCATGATCCGCCTGCCTCGGCCTCCCAAAGTGCTGGGATTACAGGCGTGAGCCACTGCGTCCAGCCTGTCCCTGTCTTACATAATCATGATACATTTTCAAAACTTTGCCACAACCTGGGTTCTGGTTTCTGGTTTCTCCAGGTTTCCTCCTGGCAAATGCTCCTTTCTGTTCCAGGATCCCACATTGCATTCACTCATCCTGTCTCGGTAGTGCCTGCAGTCAGTGACAGCTTTTTAGTTCTTCCTCATCACTCTTGGCCTTGATGCTTGGATAAGAACTAGCCGGTTATGTTATAGGTTCCTCAGGAGGATCTGCCTGGCCTGTGATTCTGTGGAGGTAACGCATCTGGGGGGAATGCCCCAGGAGTGACGGACCCTAAGTACTACACCAGGGTGCCCAAGGTGGGCGTATTTCATCACTGATGCCGTAACCTTGATCACTTGGCTAAGGGGGTGTCTGCCAGGGTCTCCACTGAGAAGGAGCCCTGTGTAATCTGTGCG